AAAATCTTCCTAATCGTGTCACTTAGAAAGATTGACTTGAAGATACTTATATCTCGAGAACCAAAAATATCTCATCAAAACTCATAAAAACAAAAAAGAATACTAAAAATATTTATTTTAGTTCTCTCTTGGAAAAATTTTCCAGTTTTGCAATTTTACCACTGGAATGACTTACTATGTCCTTGTAATTAATTTCGAATCACCCAGTATACACCGAAATAATCACATTTCGATATTAGAAAGGGTACATGATGTAAATAATCCTATTGTTAATATCGTCGAAGGAAAAAGTTGTCCGTAATTGGGAATCACCCGGTATGTAGGAGGAAGCGAGGGTATTTCAACGTCAGAAGGGCCACTTGATTTACACGCGTTCGACACGGTCAACGATCGTGATCTTGGCGGTATTTTTAACGTGGCAGTCTCTACTGACCGTGGAGAGGGTTTCAGTTAAGATAATAGCCCGACGAAACTTGCCAGGCTTAACGGCGGAGTCTGTGTGTACCCAAATGATCGAACGCCGCGCAATTTCTGTAACGAGGAACAAACTTGCTGGTAAACTCGGTCGAAGTCTCCCGTGTAAACCGGTCCGCCTCGTTACGGATTTCATCCTTTAAGCTCAGACCGACAATGGGCCGTATCCAGTAGCATTTTTTCGTATAATTAATACCGTAACGCGACGCAGTTTCCGTGCTTCGAACGTCTATACGAACAGAGTAAACTTGGGATACTTTGTTTTTTTTTCTTCTTTTTTTGGAAAATGAAAGCGAAATTTGTTAATTGACTCTCTGGGGAATTTTATTCGAGACACGGACAGAGTTATCATTGGAGTGCTTCCAGGAGAAAATGTTTGAAAAGGCGTTTTCGTTCGTCTATATTTATTTATGGGATTATTTAAACAATGCGATATATAAGGAAAGAGTAAACGAGTGTTTGACTTTTAATAACTTGGATCGAAATAATCTTTGGACCAATATCTATTTTATTTGATACTGTATGTCGATGAAATTTAGAAGAATTTTTTTCAGACACCCTATATGTAAAGAAGTACATAAAAGTACTTCTGTTTGATAACTTGGACCCAAATAATATTTTGACAAATATCTATTTTATTTGATACTGCGAGTCGATGAAATTTAGAAGAATTTTTCAGACACCCTATATGTAAAGGAGTACATAAAAGTACTTCTGTTTAATAACTTGGACCAAAATAATATTTTGACACATATCTACTTTATTTGGTAGGATCTGTGCGTTCATAAAAATTAGAAGAATATTTTTCAGACACCCTATATGTAAAGAAGTACATAAAAGTACGAGTAAGTATCTCTGTATCACGATAATTTTCTGGAGACTTTTATAATTACGTTAAAATTTTGAGACAATAGTTAAAAGTTCGAGACAGTACTTTTCGTTCACCCTATATTCAAAGAAGCAAACGAGATTAGCTTTCAGTGAAAGAATATCGTGAATTGATAAAGGATGAATATTATATTGGATATTATGATTGGACGTTTGAGCTGGACATCCGAATCGACAGATTAATTAATCGGCGTCGATACACAGTGTCAATCGGAAGATCGATTAAGATCAACGTCCTCCGGGGTAGCTTCGTTAATCTCAGGAGGTCGAGAACGATCGGTGGCTCAGCTCGGCCGTTAATTAATTTCCGGTCTAACGAACTCCCCCGCGTATGATTCGCAGCTTGTCGGCTGTCGTCCCGTGTACGAAGAAACTGTACGGCCGTCGTAATTAAATTCTTACGTTTCTTCGTTATCGTCCCAGAGTTTCGCTCCTTTCGTGATTTTCCTGGCCATTTAACGTTCGATTCGAGAAACTATATCGATCCGAGGGGAATTCTTCCAAAATTTATCGTTTACCCATTCTATAGCAAGGCATTAAGTAATCTTTCATAAAGTTCTCTGGGAGAGACTATGGCTTTTAATGGTGAAATGAATAATTTAGAGAGAGAATCCTCCGTGAGTCACCGATGGTCCCACTTGATGAAAGAATCGATTGAAGTATTTTTTATCGAATATTTTGCGACACTATGACTTTGGCTAATGGAAATATTAATTTTAGTGGAGAATCCTCCGTGGGTCACCGATGACCCACGCGGAAAGAATGGACTGAAGTATTTTCTTATCGAATATTTTGTGATTGGTACGATTTTGAGTAGTAGAAATATTAATTTTGGTGAAGAATCCTCCGTGGGTCACCGATGACCCAGGCAACGGAAATGTACCAAATCCACCAACATTGTAAATCTGACAATAGCACTCGGTTCAAGAACAAAAATATTCATTCTTCCATGAGTCAGTCATTCAACGACCCACTAAATTCACCACGAATTAAACCATCTTCTCTGCATATTTCCCATTTAGTCGCACTCTTCGCCTCCATATTTAATACAACTTAAAACCCTCCACAGCCATGATTCTTTCAGGAAATTTTAATGGAATCCCAATATCCTCCTTTTTCACACTTCCCTGTCAAATTCGTTAAAAACGTTTCCCTCCGTGCTGCGGTTTCCAGCTTTTGAATACTTAATACATCAAACGTGTCCGTTACTCCGGCCTCTGTTATCATCCCTAATCCCGTACAATTGTCGTTCCAGTAGCTCAGCTGGAATACCGTAATTCACGTGGCTCTATGAACACTCCAAACGTACAAGATCATAGTTCTATCTCTCGTAATGAGAAGTATCGCAAACCTGTTTAACACGTTTCGTGCTTCAGGAAAAGGTGTAAGTTTCGGAAGAATTTTCAAACGAAGTTGAAAAGTCACAGAAAAATATTCAATCATAGAGAAATGTCAAAAGTATTTTTCTTTACTTTAATCTATCGTTTTCGTACCTTTTTATATTCTTTGTATCTCTTTGTACACCCGGTATGTAACGTGTTAGGACTTGGAATTTTCGACTGGACAGAAGGAAAAGAAGTAAAAAACACGTCGTCGTATCTCATAGGATCGTAATTCAATTTTTTTTTTTTTTCGTCTCTGTCGGACTCGTGAACAGATTTTCGAGATTTTCCTACGAGGGTAACTTTGAAACGCGTTTCTACGGCTCGAGTCGCCGGCTGCGTTCCAAACGTTAAAGGCCACTCGTGTCCGCGTTCCTCTTTTCGGCATTAACCATTCTTTTTGCAAGCTGGTTAGCCGAGCTGGGGTTCGTTGGACGCGAGACATTAAACTTTGTCCAAGGGAAAACTGCCGTGTCTCTTGTGACTGTTTCTAGCGTCTATTTTCCTGTCTTTTTTTTCTTTTAGACTGCTACGATTTTCCTTGTAACGCTCGTGATTAGGGGAGTGACTCGGGTCAAATGTATGGAAAAATTGAATCTATCGCTTGTTTCACGTTACATCGATCTTGGTGTGTTGTAACATCATGGAACGGTGATTTGAACAAGTGAAAATGTGAAATATTTTGGCAAATGAAATTTTGAGAGGTTTTAGTAGTGTATTGTAAGATAATATTGCTTTGGAGAAAAATTGAGTAGATTCGACATTGCTTTAAAGAATAATTGAGAAAAATAAACGAGCAGTAATATTGAAAAATAAAAATTATTGAATTGTAATTTGAATAATAATTATTTTGGCTAGTAGGTAATTGAAAAAACTTTTTTTTTCAATTTATCGGTTTCTCTTTCAGTATTCTGTTTCTTCCTGTTCTTCTAACTGTCTTTAGTTTATTGTTTTTTTTTTGTCTCTCATTTTTCTGTGTTTTCTATTGTACCATTAAGTAAATAAAAAGAATTATTACTAGGAAGTAGAGGGCTGGTAGGCCAGCTTTTTAGTTCTCGATTTTTAATAAATTATGTGGACGAAATATCATTATAACGATTATTATATTTGGTAAGATCTCCAATTTGACTACCTGATGAAATGATCAAAATTTACTTAATATGATAACAATTAAGGTATATTTTAACGTTTTTCTAACACTTTCCATGCTGGTCAACCAGCCCCATATCAGGGTTGGTAGACTTACAGTATAGGGTAGGTTGACTACAGGTACAATCAGTTAAGAGAATGTTATTAGCAACTTATCTTCCTTTCATATTTTAATAATAAACTAAGAATTTTTTTCTGAATGAAATTCAGTGCATTACTGCATGACATGCTTGCTCTATCATTTCTTCAAAAATTGAACCTCTATCTGACTTTCTTTGATATATCCTCATTGTTCTGTGCAATAAGTTATTAACTGCTATAACTCCTTCAGTAACAAAAATTAGTACAAACTGATATCACCGAGGTTGGTTGACCAGGTTCTTAGTCTTAATCGGACGTTATTAGTCAACCAGCCCCAAACGATCATTTTGACTTCAATACTCTACGTAACCCTAAATTATTTATGTATAAAAAAAATACTGTTTCAATGGGTCGTCTAATAAACAAACTTTAAAATATTCCTTTAACATTTATTCTATTGTAACTACATAGAGCGTGAAAACATAAAATGTTTAAGAAAACATATTTACTTATTTAGCCAATTTTACGACAAACGCTGATAACACTCAAACAACGTGCGGTCACAGCGTCGACAAACAAATAAATGGCATATAGTAGAAGTGTCTTGTTTCTACAATACATTTTTCCGCGGTATAGCACACGTCGGTGCAATGTTATTGACAATTAGTCAACCTACCCCTATAGACAACCAGCTAAGGTCTCAAAAATTGTCAAAAATATTGGAATTAATTGTTTCCAATTTCAAAATAATTAATTGAAATCTCGTCGAAACTTTATATGCTCCAAAGCTTGAAAATTTTTCGAAATTTTATTGCTAAAATAACGAAGTATGCCGAAGGGTGCGTTTATTAGAAAAAAGTGTTCAATTTCAACTCGACTTCACTTTTCTAATTACCAATTTGATTATTACGTAATAATTTCGTTCCTCTTGTACGAATCAGATAGTAGAAAATTGAAGAGAAATGGAAAGAATAGCGATGGAGTGAGTTATTTCGGGGATAGAGAAGAAGAGGTGGGTAAACTCACCGATCGTGGTGATTACAGTGAGAGAATAGAGAAACGCCCCGGCGAAGCTCCACCTTTTGTTTTCCTCACTGCCGTCGTAGCCGTTCTTTATAGCCGTTACCATTTTCTTCTGATAACTCTCGAGGATCGCCCTCACTTTCACTTTCCAGATCCTCTCGGAAAACACATTCTCCTACACAGAGAAATAGAGGAGAAGGTAAACAGATTGGAAATTCTGCAGTTTCTCGCAAAACCTCCAGTCGTTTGTTTTTTTTTTTATTTTTTAAACAGAGACGAAAAGTTGGAACTCTGAAACACATTTTTTTCAAAATCCATTCAGTGTCTCTATCTAAAAATTTCTTTCACAAAGGTATGCGAGTGAAAATTTATACGAAAAAATCAACCAAAATGGAGTATTTTTAAACACATTTTTGAAATCGATTCGGTATCTCTGTCCAACAATTTCTTTCATGAAAGTATGCAAGTGAAAATTTGTGCAAAATGTGTCCAATAATTAAACTAAAGATTCGTATAACGTAGAATAGAAATTTCTTTTGCTTTTAAGTTACATTGGTAAAAATGTGTATCGAAAGAAATTCAACGAAGTCTTTAAAATTTCACAAAAAATGTCAAATAATTAGAACTAAAATCCAAGCATTTTAAATTATTATACAAATTTCTTTCACAAATTTAGTCACATCGGTCTTGCTCAATAAAATAATCTAATTCACACACAACTTGAACTAAGAAGCTACAGAAACCTGTATTTCCAAATATCCAAGCAAATATCACTTAATACATCACTTGCACTATCGCATTTTCTTCAAACCATGGCAAACGAGGCGATTTTTCGCGCCAAGATAAACGTTTTATCTCAAAATTGGTTTTAACCCCCCTTGGTGGTCTCCCCTGAACCTATAAAAAGCAATACCTCGCGAATGTCCAGTCCCCGTCGATAATTCTCCGTGCAGATAAGCGGATCATCCGGAACTATAATATCACGACACTTATCTCTGTCAAGCTCTCCAACGAAGAACGTAAGCCATCGTGAGCAGAGAGAATAGCGAAGGAAAAAAGAAAGGAAGGAGAAAGTTAAGAAAGAAAAGGAAAGAAGAAGTTAATTACAGTCAAACGTATTCCTATTCGAAGATATTAAATGTACCAATGAGTATTCGAAAATATGTAATTGCCAAGATCCATGCTATTATAGAAGTACTGCACAATAAGGAAGATCATGCTATATGCATCTGACAACAGTTATCAAAAATAATTCAATTATCATAAAAAATTTCAAGAAACATAGTCAATAATTCACATACACAAATTTATATGAAAATCGATTAAACTTTAACAAGGAAAATTACCAAAAAAGGTCAAATTTTTAATATATTATTTGAAAACTTCTCTATATTCCAAAAAATATGTTCTCGACCTTAAAATTTCATCCCTCCAATACGAACGATTCTTGATGAAAAAAGTACGTGTCAAATGTTTCCCCGTAAACTACCTCCCATATAAATTTCATCAAAATTGACGTACATTTTCTCGTCAGAAAGAAGTATCAACTTCTGCACCGCAGCAAAGATAATAGAAAAACTGTAAGTAAGCACTATAGCACAAAACAGCTGAAATTATACAAAATATTACAATCAACAAACAACCATAGTACACGGTCAATGTTGCTAAACAAAATAAGAAAAAGAAGAGAAAAATTGGTTACCTTGGAGGTAAGCTCCCACAGAGTGGCAGCCGTCAAGTTTCTCAGCCTGATCACGTTTCCAACAACGTCCAGGTTGTTCCTGCCCTCGATGTGAGTGAAGAGGAACGCGCCAGCTATGGTATACCCGACTACCAAGCACACTATACCAACGTTGCTGAAGAGGAAGGCTATCAGTGTACGAGTCCAGTCTGCGATCCTCTCGCCCCATGGCTTCCGTCGGCGTTTTCTTCGTCTTCCGCCACGGCTACGATAACTTCCACGCTGCCAGTTTCGGCTGGACGTCGAATACGATCCTCGATCCCCTTCCATTTCTCCTCCAACATCCGACTTCTCGAGATATCCTACGTTTTCTTCTCCTTTCTCTCTTTCTCTCTCTCTCTGTCCTTTTAACCAGTCTTCGAGGTTTGCTTGACTCGCTTGGGAATATTTCAAGAGGGTTCATTTTTGTTTAATATGATTCCCCGTGCGGGAGACGTAGCATAATTGAGGATATGGGATTGAATAACCTCTTCAGGGACACTGACATACATATGTATCTATGTGTAGGTTAATTTCTTTTTCGAAAATTCTTAATACCGTATATTCTCCACAAGTGTCAGACCGCAAGGAAGCTAAACCTGACACTCGTAGAGTCAGGGACTACGTTTTCGAGCCTCGCGCCCGCCTTTGTAGTTTGCCGAACGTAGACAAGGGCAGCGAATAAAAGATAAGCACGAAACGTGAGTCCAGGCAACCAAGCGATTTAAATATCAACTTTTTTAATTTTACGTTTTTTTATCCCGAAATTTTTCTTAACATATTGATGAGATTTTTCTGATGAAAATGACATAAAGCACGACATAATTTTAACAACATTTACATATTAACACGTTCACTGTCACGCCAGATTTACAGGTTGCTGTCAGGCGGCCACAAGAAAATATATTTTAAGCATAGGATTATAGTATTATGCTTTATAATTTTTTTTCTCAATTGAAAATAATGTGTAGCTAGCTATGACGTTCAAAATTTTTAGTTGACAACATTTATTTTATTTTAATTATTCTAAACATTTGAGACACTCCAGTCACTGATGACCACCATGGCCATTTCGAGGAAACAATCTAACGTTAAAACTTATTGAGTGATTAATTTCATTTCATAATATATTGGTTTAGCGAGCCACCGTTTGGTTGCCAATTGTTTATCACATAGAGTCGGCCTACCTCCACGTAAAAAAAAAAAAAAAAATGTAGGGTCGATTCCACAAGTGTCAGTAAAATGTAGGGTCGATAGCAGCAGAAAAGCTACTAAACAATTAGAATTAAATGTAACGATAGAAATTATTGCAATAATGCGTAATGCAATTGAAAAATCGCAGAAAAGACTGATACAAATGTTTGAAAAGAAAAATATATAAGATGAGATACAGTATCTTACCACGTAATGTAACTTTTTATTGTGTAACATATTAAAAACACTGTTTGGGAAAAATTTGTCACAGAATTGCATTTCTTATTTAATCTTCCTTTACTGCTACTTCTTGTGAAATTTTATATCAGAAAATTGAAGAAATTCTTCTTCGTGTTTCGTAGGCAATTGATTGCTAATTTGCTATTGACAGATCGATGTTAAAATTTGATGTTAAATGGAACTCTCATATCTAACATAGTATCTGAATAATTTTTCAAGGTATTTTATTAAGAAACGCGCACATAGTGTTCAATTTTCTATCTTAGAATTAACTTACTTTATCTTACGAACTACTTAAAGTTAAAACTTTC